TATATATATATATATATATATATATATATATATATATATATATATATATATATATATATATCCTGTCATAAGCAAGGTTTTTGAATCTTTAATCAACAAACACTTAATCTCTCATCTTGAATCAAATAACTTACTTTCTGATCATCAATATGGATTTCGGTCTTCTCGTTCTACAGCTGATGTGCTAACAGTAATAACCAATAGGTTTTACTGTGCATTAGATAGAGGTGGAGAGGTTAAGGCTATCGCACTTGACATTTCTAAAGCTTTTGATAAAGTTTGGCATGCTGGTCTTCTCCATAAGCTTTCTTCTTATGGTGTAGCTGGTAACGTCTTTAAGATTATTGAGTCCTTTCTTTCCAATCGTAGTATAAAAGTTGTCCTCGATGGACAACACTCTTCTTCACATCCTGTAACTTCAGGGGTTCCTCAAGGTTCAATCCTTGGCCCTATACTCTTTTTAATTTACATTAACGATCTTCCAGATATTCTCACATCTAAGGTGGCATTATTCGCTGACGACACTACCATTTACTCTTGTCATGATAAGAAGCCTACACTCTCTGATTGCTTGGAGGGGGTATCTGAGCTTGAAAAGGATCTCACTTCTGCTACAGCATGGGGCTCACAGTGGCTGGTGAACTTTAATTCAGATAAAACTCAATTTTATTCGGCCAATCGTTATCGTAATAATTTAGATCTTCCTATATTTATGAATGGTAATGTACTAGATGAGTCATCTACCATTCATCTTCTAGGATTAACTCTTACTTCTGATCTTTCTTTTAAACTGTATATCAAATCCATTGCAAAATTAGCATCTGCTAAGGTTGCATCTCTTTATCGAGCTCGACACTTTCTTACTCCAGATTCTATTCTCTATCTCTATAAATCTCAAATCCGTCCCTGTATGGAATACTGTTGCCACATCTGGGGCGGATCTTCTAATGATGCTCTTTCTCTTTTAGACAAGGTGCAAAAACGAATTGTAAACATAGTTGGACCTGCTCTGGCAGCCAATCTCCAACCTTTGTCACATCGTCGTAATGTTGCTTCTCTTTCTCTTTTCTACAAATACTATAATGGACACTGCTCTAAAGAGCTAGCGTCCCTTGTGCCATCTACTAAAATTCATTCTCGTGTTACTCGCCATTTAATTAAGTCTCATCCTTTTTCTGTGACTGTTCCTAAGTGCTTCAAAAACTCTTATTCTTCTAGTTTTTTTCCTCGAACATCAGTTCTTTGGAATTCGCTTCCTTCATCTTGCTTTCCTGATTCATATAATTTGCAATCTTTTAAGTCATCAGTCAATCGTTATCTTGCTCTACAGATTTAGTCTTTTCTCTTCCAGTAACTTCCAACTCTTATAGTGGTTGCTTGCAGCCTTGTTGGAAGTGAAGATGTTAAAAAAAAAAAAATATATATGTTTAGCGAAAAAAAAATTTTAGCAAATATAAGTAAAAAGTTCCAGGTAACAAAAGAAAAAACTAATCAAACTAAAATGAGTAAAATATATTTATTATATATATATATTTACTTTTAATATATATTTTAAATTTTTTTTCTAACACAGAAGGCCTTTCATATAAAATCTTCAGCTGTGTATGAGATTTACAAAACTATCAAAATTCTTTATATTGAACTTCCTATAAAAAGTTAAAAAAGGAAGTAATTAAGGTTAATATAAAAAACTATAATTAACCATATTCAATTCAATTTTTCAATTCAATTCAATTCATATATATTCTGAAATAGTTGTTACATTCACGGGAGTTAACAAATAGTACATGTACTAATCTTAATTAAAAACCTTGTAAATAAAAGCTAATAAATATATTAATTAATGCAAATAGTAATAATCATCCACAGCAGTAACAAAACGAACATTAAAAGTTGAAGGAGTAAAAATACTAATAAAGATAATAATAAAAGTTGTAGTTGTAACAGTAATAACAATACAATGATAAAAGTACAGTGATTATAATAAAAATAAAATGACAGAAATAAAAAGAATTAGTATAACTTGATATATAGTATAGTATAACTTGATTTTTGTTGGATAATATAGTATAACTTGATTTTTGTTGGAAAGAAAATTTTTTTAAAAGTAATGTAAAAATAATTACTTTCTATTTATATGTTGATTGTGTCATGTCCCTGTTAATGTAGGTGAGCTTCATAAATAAGAAGTAAATTCTCATTTGAAAGTTTTAACATCGGAAATAATTTAAAAAAAGGTTCATTTTTATGGCAATTGAAAACATGCTGATCAAATTTATCTGAACCAATACCTGTTTTGCAGGTGTAGACGTGTAGATTAGTTCTTAACCTTAGGTTATTAGTTTTACCAATGTATATCATTTTTCTATCACATCCATTACATGATAGAAAATAAATGATATTTTTTTGAATTACATGATATTGAAGTTTTAATGTACCATACTTTACCAGATGATGTTGTAAAATGGTTAACAAACTGAAGATACATAGTACATAGCTTACAGCGTTTTGATTTACATTTTAAAACCTTGCATTCATTGTTATCAAGAACTGGTTTCTTATTAAAGCTTGATGTACTTATGTGTCTTAAAATATTTTTTGGTTGGCGTTGTGATAATACAATAGAAGTGTTTTCAAAAACTGATTTTAGTTTATTGTCTAAAACAGACAGTTTCAAAATACTATGTAGAGTTGTTAACAAATTTTCAAAATTAATATTTGCAAAATTTGTTTTTTACAAAAGATATAATTTTGTTAACCTCTCTTTTTTGAGGTGCTGGTCCCTGTAGTCGAGCTTTAAAAATTCAATTATTAATCATTTTTACTGGGTAATTACCCCAAACTAAAAATTGCTTTAGTTGTTGAAGTCTGATTTCCATTTTTGATGGATTGGACACAAAACAAATTATCCGTTTAGCTAGTGTGAAAGGTATATTGTCTTTTGTATGCTTGGGGTGATGGCTATTGTAATTTAGCTAATCATGTGAATTTGTAGATTTATAAAAAATATCTGTTTCAATAATGTTGTTATCATGTAGAATAACTGTCTAAAAAGTTTAAAGATTTATCATGTAGAAAGTCTAAGAAGTTTAAAGATTTATCATGTAGAAATGTCTAAGAAGCTTAAAGATTGGTACTCTGTGGTTTTCGTATATGAAAGTTTGAATTGTTCTTTTGTATATTTGATATCGGGGTGTAAAGAATAAAGACACTTTAACAGCAAATTAACATTAATTGATTTTAATAAAACAACAAAACCATCATCCATGTATCTTTTGAAATTTATTTGAATATTCTCGCATTCAATTTTATTTAAGAAATTT